CAGACTCGATGGGCTGAATAACCAAATTCTGCACCTATGTCTTATGATGTTAAAAGAAAGAGAAAGAAGATACATAGGTACAGACCTTGTTAGCTTAAAATCAATAATTGGGCAAATGCTGGAATCCATGTTTACGGCAGTCTTAACAATGCATTTAGAGAATCATAGTATGTTCAAGCAGAGCCAACATGGTTTTATAAAATGGAAGTAGTTGACAAAATGTTTGACAGCCAGGAAAGTGGATGCTAGGCAGAACATCTGCCAACAATCATACTGAAGGGTGGAGCATGCTTGAGGGATTGAATAGGTTGACTCCTGGTCCTATTTCTTATATCCTCAGGTTATTCACCTCATTGTTATTTTGACAGCAAATGATGAGCCATTAATTTCATTTATCCTTTTTCCCACTATGCAGTCTTTTTATATTCAGGGTTGCCAACTCTGGTTCTACGCAATCCTGGTGCTTTGATCAAGTAGCATTCAGACCACTTGACATCTGCCAGTATTATTGCAGTTAGCTTATAGGGATTGGATCATCAGCAGTTGTTTCTCTTTGTTTGTGGTTTCATACCACAGACTGTTGTGCAAGAAGTTCTGAGAATCAGGAGGTCACCCATGAGCAGATGAAGAAGGGAAGCCAAGAGCAAGAAAGTGGCGAACTGAAGATAGTGGAGTGATTCAAAGAGAGGACATCAGAGGTTAAAAGAACTTTAATATATAGATAGATCTGCACTGATTTCAGAACATTTCAACATCTTTATTGAAGACGTGGGCTAAGAAATAGTTGTGATTTTGAAGGCTTGCAGTTTACATTGTGAGAAAGGAGAATGAGTACTGTGGATAGAAGCAAAACATTACAAAGTATCATAAATTAAGTGATGGAGTTCAATGTGTACAAGTATAAGGAGAAAGCTTGAAGCAGATGATTTTTAACAAAGCAGCTGAACAGCAATTTCATGAATGTAACTACAGTAAAATCTGTGTTATCTGGCACACGAAGGGAACAGATAGTGCTAGTAAATCAAAGATGCCTATTAACAGGGAGTTTCCTACAGGATGCTAATAAGTAAGAATGAGATGTGGTCAGGATCAATGTTATTGTTCTGGATATTTCTGATCAGGGTGATTATCAGCATGTGGAGTGGTTTGAAGACTGAAGGCTAAACTGCTGATTTTACAGCAATTGAGCTGACAGATGCTGTCAAAATAACTACTCAGCTTTGCAAAAAAAAATTACACCTGTCAGAAATGCCGGTTACATTCCAGTTGGTAAGGTGTCAGAAAGGACAGATTTTACTGCATTTTGAACAGGAAAAGGCTAAATTGAAGGAAGTGAGTCTATATGATGATGAACAGGACATCAATAAAGCAAGATTAACTATCCAGGATAGTATCAGGTATGTAAGTATTGTTGAAGGGACACTTAACCAGGCAAGTGGCAAAGACTCCAGTCTCTGTTTGAATTGTATGAGCCATGACTAATTTCTCAAAGCACTTCACAATTATGGAGGTCAGAGCCACCGTGCCGTGGTCATTGACGTACGTTGCATGTGTTTTCTTTGGTAGTGATGTAAAGATAATGATCTCTCCCTCAATGTCAGCAAAACCAGAGAGCTGATCCTCGACTTCAGGAAGCAAGAAGGAGAGCGTGCCCCTATCTACATCAATGGAGCTGAAATGGAAATAGTTGAGACAGTCAAGTTTCTAGGAGTGACAATAACTGACAACCTGTCTTGGACCACCCACGTTGATGCAACAATCAAGAAGGCACAACAACACCTCTTCTTCCTCAGGAGGCTAAGGAAATTCAGCGTGTCCATAAAGACTCTCACCAATTTGAATAGATGCACCATAGAAAGCATTCTATCTGGATGCATCGCGGCTTGGTATGGCAACTGCTCTGCCCAGGACCATAAAAAACTACAGAAAGCTGTGAACACAGCCCAGTCCATTGTGCAGAGCAGCCTCCCATCCATTGACTCCATCTATACTTCTCAATGCCTCAGAAAGGCAACCAACATCATCAAAAACCCTTCCCACCCTGTTTATAATCTCTTCCAACCTCTTCCATCAGGCAGAAGATATAAAAGCTTAAACACGCATACCAACAAGTTCAACAGTAGCTTCTTCCCTGCAATTATTAGACTTCTGAATGGACCTCTTGATGTTGATCTCGCTAGCTGTGCACCTTCTTTGCAGCATAACTTTGTATTCATTGCTCTGTTCAATCACCCTATAATCTTTGGATGGTACGATCCATCTGTACTGCAAAAAACTGTATTTAGGTATATGTGGCAATAATAAATCAAATGAAATCGAATTGTGACATAGAATAGAATAGAATATCCTTTATTGTCACTTGTACTCCAGTACAGGAGTACAGTGAAACGTTTTTACAATGGCTGCCGTTTAATGGTGCCATTTTAGGTACAAGTACCTAGGTACAAAACTTACAGAGTTAAAAATATAATGTTGTTACACAAAAGAGGATTGAAATGTAAAGATTTACATTACAGTCCCGGAAAAGTACCAAACAGCAGCAGCTCAGCTCATGGCACCAGGCCCAAGTTCTACAACTGGCCTGCATCGCACTAGCCACCAGTCCGCTTCTCACCGGCACTCAGCGGCAGCAAGAGAAGTCGCGCTTTACCGTGCTTGTTGATGATGGGAAGTCAGGAGGTGAGTTAGTATCCACAGAATACCCAGCCTCTGAATTGCCCTCAGGGCCACTATATTCATATGGCTGGTCCAGCTGCTGGTCAATGGTGGGAGATTCAGTGACAGATAATACATTGAATGTCAAGGAGGGGTCAGGGAACATATAACAGAAGCAATAGCAGAAGCTATACATGAAAACAGAAAACGCTGAAAATTCTAGGGAGGTCAGGCAGCAAGGATGGAAAGAGTAACATAACTAAACTTTCAAGAGCTCAGGTGTGCAATAGTTTGATATCAGTCAGGTGTTAGACTGAACAACTCTATCTCTTAACACACTGAATCTGAAGCAGGCCTTATATTAGGTCAAAATTTGCTCTGAATTTAAATCATTTTACGAATAGCCAGATATAAATCATTGTAAGCTCATACAAATTTGACAGCACTGTTGTCTGGTACTTGCCATGTACAAGTCTCATATCAGAATGAACTCAGTCTCACTTCGTCAACTACTAGTCAAATATTAACGTTAGCTTTAATAGGATCATCTACATCAGTCCAATATAATTGAGAAAGTTTGTCTTGAGTTGATGTGTATGGGAGTTGAATATGCGTTTGTGCGTTGGAATTTAGTTTGTTTCAGACTGCGCGATTGGCTGTACCGATGGAAGTTGAACTTCATTTGTACAAACTGGACTTAGTTTAACGTAGATCAAGTTTAATGTAGCCTGGGTGAGTGGGTTCAGCTTGAATTGTGGCAGTGGGAGTTTCATGTTGTGAATTGGAGGTCGGGCTGTGTTGGATGAGTTTGGTTTGTTTCAATGGGATTTCAATTTCTGTCAATGGGAGAGTTTGGGTGGAGCCTGGTTTTCTGTATAAGGGGCTCCGGGTTCTTCCCGGTTTGAGTTCTTTCTGAAGGTGCTTGTCAGGATGAACTTGCTGTCGTTGGCTGGGCTGCTCCTGGCGGTGAGTCTGGGGGTGGAGGGGAAGGCGTCCAAGATTGAGTGCCCTCCCTGTGCCCACACCAAGTGTCCACCTTTGCCCCCCGAGGGCTGTCTTTACGGGGAGTTAAGGGATGCGTGCCGCTGCTGCTCCGTGTGTGCAGCCGGCCAGGGAGCGCCTTGTGGGGGCCGCGAGTCCAGGTACGGCCGATGTGCCCCGGGCTTTGAGTGTGTGCGCTCCGGCAACAAGCGCAGGAGCCGCGGGCGCTGCCGCTGTAAAGCCTCCGAGCAGGTCTGCGGCAGCAACGGTGTCACCTACAGCGACGGCTGTGCATTGACAGCCGCAGCGAAACGGGCAGAGAGGGAGAGAGAGACACCCATCACCAGGACTCGGAAAGGAGCCTGTGAGAAAGGTGAGCAAACTCCAGCATTGACCCTCCTTGGGAAGTGTCTGTGTGTGGGTGACAGAGAGAGAGGGGGGGCAGGAAGAGATTGAGTGTGAGGAGTGAGACAGAGAGAACAAAGTGGGCAACGGGGTGAGAGATAAAGTGATGGAGAGAACGGAAGAGAACAGAGTGGGAAAGGGAATGAGAAAGTGGTGGAAAGAAGGAAGATAAAGTGAGTAAAGGAGTGAGAGATAAAGTGGAACAAAGAGAATAAAAGTGGAAGAGTGAGAAAGTGGAGGAAAGACAGAGGATAAAGTGGGAAAGGGCATGAGAGGGAAAGTGGTGGATGGAGAATAAGGTAGAAGAAGGTAGGAGAGTCAGAGAAAAGGATACAGAAAATGGGAGGAGTGGAGGGGAGGAGGGGAGACAGAGAGTGGATTAGGTGGGAAAGCGAGAGAAAGTGGTGGAGAGAGAAAGTAGTGAGAGGAAGAGGGAGGAGTGAGAGAGAAGAGGTAAGAGAGAATAAAGTAGGAAAGGGATGAACGTGGGAAATTGCAGAGAGCTGAGGAACTGGACAATTGATTCAGTGAAACAAAAAGAACTCAAGAAATTTCTAGAGACGCAGCAGATCTGGAAGTTAACGCTGCTCTCTCTCTACAGATGCTGCTTTACCTGCTGAGTTTCTCCAGCGATTTCTGTTTGTGTTTCAGATTTCCAGCATCCGCAATTCTTTCTTTTATTACAGACTTGGTTGTGCGAAAACTCACACTAAATGAGTTTAAAGCAGCAACCTTTAAAGGAGGTTTTAAAGAAGCGTAAATTTTTTTTCTGTAGGGACAGGAGGAGCACTCAAGCTGCTCCCGGCCCTAGGCAGTCTCCCACCAGCTCTGGGATCAGTTCCGGCCTCCCCTGGCACTCCCCTCCCGCCTGCCTGGTTCAGTGTGATTTACTGCCCACCCAGGAGGAGGTAACCCGAGGGTATTTAGCATCTACAATTCGCCAATGGAATTGAAAGGAGGTCCAAGCTGTGAGTCGATTCAGAGCAAGTGTTGGATGTGGGCACAGCCCCCCGCATTGCACTCGCACTGATTTCCGAGGTGTAAATTGGAGTATGAGATACAGGATACTCTCTGCAGATAATGATGCTCTGAGCTCTCCAAACGGGTTCCTTCTCGCCTTTGACGCAGTTTCTGCCCGAGAGTTCGGCTCTGGACCTAGTCAGTGATCCATTCGCAAGTTGCACTGGCGTTCAGAACAAATTTTTTGCTTGTTTTCACCGAATTTATTTGCAAATTACTGAAATAATCTACAAAACTGCACAATCAGGTAGCATTATAAAACACCTTTTAAAATCGCTTTTGTGTTAACATCCCTTGATGTATTTAAGAGCGGTAACCTGCTGGAGGTATTTTCAATGGTATTATCACTAAACTTTATCCACAGGTTGTACTGTTCACTAGCTATTTCAATTGTAGGTTAACTGAAATGATTAAAAACAGAACCATTTGCCAGTTACATTGATGTACGGCGGTAGGAGAATGGTGGGAGACTGCCTAGAGCCAGGAGCAGCTTGAGTGCTCCTCCTGACCCTACAGGAAAAAAAATACGGATAGTAGGAACTGCAGATGCTGGAGAATCCGAGACAACAAGGTGCAGAGCTGGATGAACACAGCAGGCCAAGCAGCATCATAGCAGCATCATGTCGAGGAAAAAAATTACGCCTCTTTAATGTATTAGTAGCTGGGTAGTAAAGATTTAATAACTTTTAAAATATGCCTTCTTGCCTTTAAAAAAAGATGAAGCGGGCACAAATAGTAGAAACTAATAAAGTGGGAAAAGGATGAAGTGAGTGAGAGAGATATAAATATACGAAGTAGGAGAGAGTTAGATAAAAAGGGATAGAGAACGTGGAAGGAGTGAGAGGAGAGGGTAGAGATAGAGAAAAATTAAGTTGGAAAACGAGAGAAAGAAAGAAAACGTGGTGGAGAGTTGGAGAAGGCAGAGGAAAGGGACAGAAAGTGGCTCTGAGAGAGAAGGGGCTAAAGGCGAACGTGGTAGTTTGGAGAGAGTTTTGGAAGCGGACAATTGCTTAGATTTGAATGGACACTGGGATCCTAGTTGGGTTGCACAGAAAACGCACGTTTGGGCCAATTGCATCAGTTCCTGAGTTCTAACCAGCGGTCTTTAAAGAGAATTTTATTGTTAATTTTAGAGACAATTATAGAGCGATGGTTAATATCCACTAATGCAAAAGTTTGGGGGCGGGTTGGAGCTGGTGGGGTTCAGACAGGATTTGCTTTGAACGAGATTGGCCCTGCTTTTGCCAGGTCCATGTGAATTGCACTCAAATGAAACTACTTGCAACCTAGTACAACTTAGTTCTATATAGCCTCTTTCTTTCACTCCACTGATAACATTTTCGCGTTCTATTTCTAATCCAACACTTTTTTTTACACAATCCTACCCTCCCTTCCTACCAAGTCTAGAAGTTTCCGCCCGTTTCTAGCATATTGGTTTAAATCACTTTCGGGGCGAGTATATTTCAACTATATGTTTACGAAATGAAAAATTACTAAAAGAGGTCCTTGCGACCACTTTATATAAATAGATAGGACACGTGCACAAGAATAAAGACGTTTTTACACAATACCAATAATAGGGTGTGCCAAATTCAGAGGATGAGGGCAGAAAGGTTTAGGTAAGTTAGTGGAGTGGGCAGATAGTTGGCAGATGCATTTTAATGAGATATGACATTGTACACTTCAAGAAGAACAACAATGAATTGTGTACTCTAAATGCTAAAGTGGAGGAACAGAAAGATTTGCCACTTCAAATACATGAATCTTTATCGATGAGATTGCATGTAGATAAAGGCAGCTAATTGTCAAACAATTCCAGGTTTTACATATAACAGTATAAAATAAAAGCAAAACAATAAACGTAATGTTGGTTTGCAATCGGCGGGTTCTCTGCAATTCATTGCACCTGGTTAAAGGAAAGATAGTCAAGCTGTGGAAAAAGTAAATCTGTATCAAAATTATTTCACTGCAATCAAAGTTATAGAGAAAACCTTTAAAACATTGCTTTTTTGATATAGCACAGGAGACTGAGAGGGTTGCCTAAGTTGTATTTCAGTTCAGTTTGTTACACTCATCTCTGAATCAGAAGGTGATAGGTTAGATCCTTAAAGCAGAGGAGACTGAGGGGGCACATGATTGAGATGCATAAAATTATGAGTGGGGTAGACAGGAAGAAACTCCTCCCCATGTCAGAGGAATCAATAAGCAGGGGCAGGAGTTTCACAGGGAACGTGAGGGTTAAAAAAGATCCATCCAGAGGGTGGAAATCTGGAACACACTGCCTGTAACAGCTGGTAGAGGTAGAAACCCTCAGAATATTTATGAAGTATTTTGATGTGCACTTGTGGTGCCAAGGCATACAAGGTTATGGGCCATGTTCTGAAAAAAAACTGGATTAGAATTAGGTGGCTGTTTTTGGCAGGCACTGATTCAATGGGCTGAAGGGCTTGTTTCTGACCTATTGACCTCTAAGACTGTAAATCCTCAATTCCTCACTGTATAATTCAGCCCCTAATGTGGTTGCCTGCAATGAATTAGTTCAAAAGTAGATTTTGCACGTACAGCTTTGAACTTGCACTAACTGAATCATGTCAAGTATGTGCAAGGTTCTTTACCACAATTAGTATGATAAAGTTGCAATTTAACTGGATTTATTATAATCATCTTTTGGATGAGACAGGCTGTCATAAAAGATCCGTTAGAACATTTTTGAACATCAGTGAATTGTCCTACCTGACATTACATCCTAAACAAAAAACAGATTCTCCATGCACTTTACTCTCTGTGTGCAAATTAGTTTTCATGTTGGTGGCAACACTTTAAAATTAATCTGTTGGCTGTCAAGATTTTGGGAGATCTGATGGTATTATGTGTAAATCCAAATTTGTTCTTTTATGGATGATTTGGAAATTAGAACACCCTTTAAATGGAGGGTAATTCTTGAAAGATTGTTTTCATTGATTGGTGAATCATTAGGAAATTACTCAGAATGATCACAAAAATGTTAATGTGAAGGTTAGACAAGGTTTTTCACTCACAGGCTTACTCAAACAGGGAATGCTTTTCCACAAGTGGCTACTGAAGTGGAGACGTACTTAAGAGAAATCTGATGCACATTTCAAAGGGAAGACTATAAGAGGGCAGAAGGAAAGGGTAAGGGAGACAAATGGATAAAGCTATTTGAAAACCTGTGCTAGCCCAGCAAGATAGGCCAAAGAGCTTCTTTCTGTGCTGTGAATTAATTTATTATGTCCAGTGGAATTGTAACTATTGTATTAATTGTGGTAAGGAACTGTGCACATATTTGACATAATCCAGTTAGTGTAAGTTCAGAACTGTTTTTGCAATGTCTACTTTTGAAAGCACTTCATTGTATACAACAAATTAAGAGGCTGGTCACTTCAACCATATGATTCCTATCAGCTGAAAATATTTTAGAAAGAAGTGACTTGAAGAGAAAGTATTTTCTTACTCAATGCTTAGCAAGCCATAACTTACTCTACCGGGACATTGCACCTCGCTTAAACTTTAATGAAGTTGAAGTTAAACTTTAACAAACTTGCTGAATAAATCAACAAAGTTTTTTGTGGAAGTCTCATTTATCCAACGTTTAAAGAAATATTGCATTATCTCCTATGTTTCTTCACTTCTCTGCACAAATGCAGCTTTTACCAACAGTGCCACAACCTCCACTACAGATAGGGCAAGGAGGAAAGTCCTGAAACCATTTAAGCCAGAATAGGGATTGAACCCCATGGCACCATTTTGATCCACACCCAGTATCCAGCCAACTGATGCAATTAGCCCTCAAGCAGTCTATATGCATGTTGTAGACTGGAACTATGGACAGTAATAATGGAGGCTCCAGTTTCTTCCCAACACATGGCTAACCAAGAATCTCTACTACTCTTACTGCCTGTCTTTGGCAAGGATATACAGATCGATACTCAACCTGTTTGGTGGCAGGATTTTAACCCAGAGGCAGGGACACTACTCACAATGCAGGATGATTTTCTTTATCTCCAATTATTCATCTGTGTTGTATTTCCCTCCTGTTAATTAAAATGATATCAAAGTCATTTTATGTGATTCCCAAACATGATTTCCTTGACATTGGGGCAAGGGTTAACATGGCTAGAAGTAGTGGCTTTCAGGCCAGGAGTATCCTTAGCTCTAACCCACAATTCTGCCAGATGATTGGTAGGCTAGGTGATTAACATGTAAGACCCATCTATGAATCTAGTCTTAGGATCTTAGCTTGAATTCCTGAGGTTATAATGTGGCATGTTATTGATTCTGCACCTTTAGAAGGGTGGAAAATATCTAAAAAAAACAAGTCTTCATGCTGAAAGCACTAAAAATGAGCAGAAAGCATTCCATTACTCCTTGCTATTGGTAGGTATTCAAGAAGTGCCCATAATGATTATTTGTCTATAACTCAAATGCTTAAATTAACTAGATAAAGAAACCATTCCATTGATCCTGCATAACTTAGCAGAGTCAGTAGTGAAAGTTTCAATGGGTTGATCAAATGATAATGGAATCTATTCCAATTTTTTATAGTGTGAATCACTGTACAAGCACTTTTGTCCTAAAAACCCTCAGAAACAACATCCTGCATTAACATTGGCATAACAAGATGTAGAGCTGGATGAACACAGCAGGCCAAGCAGCATCAGAGGAGCAGGAAGGCTGA